TCGCGAAATTGCCATATTGCCATATTGCAATCTGTCTCTTGGCTCTAGGATTTATGGTGATAGCGTTGGCAGGATCGATAAAGCTTTTGGAAAATGTCTTTCTCTTTTTTTTTTCTCGAGGTGGGGGGGGAGGGAAGGGGAATTATCCTTTTCTTCTTGAATGTACTTGTGGCTTTGTTTGTCTGTTTTCTTTCTTCTAATTCGTTCTTCTTTGTATTTTTGTCTTTCTCTAAACCGCCTCTCCTTAGTCTCTGTCTCTGTTTCTCTCTCTCTCTCCTTTCCTCCCTCCCCCCCTCTCGTTCTCTAATCCTCCCTCTTTCTCCCTCTCCCCCTCTCTCTCCTTCTCTTTTTTCCCCTCTTCCTCTCTCTCTTTTTCCCTTCTCCCCCCTTTCTTTATAATCATAACAATTCTCTCATTCTCTCGCTCTCCCCTCTCTCTTTCTCCCTTCCTCCTTTCTCCCTCCCCCCTTCTCTCTCTCATCCCTATCTACCTATATATCTCTCTTTAATCCCTTCCAGTACTTTCATATTCCAGGTAAGAGTGACAACAGACGTAATTTTATTTTCCGGGAGAAATATGATTGTTGGCAACCGCGTTACGTGAATATCAAATTTCAAGATTGAAATTTCGTGCTCATACGAAATCATATTTATGGTCGTTATTTCATTTTTTTTTTTTTCTCTCTCTCTCTGCAGTATTACGGTAATGTAGTAAATATACTTTTGAAAATAATAATGTTTTTGTTTATTCTGGTTGATCTGAAATGAGTGTTTTGTTGTTGTTGTTGTTGTTGCAACGGGAAAGTTTATAATAATAGTAATAGCGACTGAGACTTGCACTGCTGTTAATATCTTTAATATTTATTTCACTTATCTTTACTACTGCTACTAGTACTGCTACTTCTACTGCAGCTACTTCTGCTATTGCTGCTACCACTACTACCATTGCTGCTGTTGTTACTACTCCTACCACTACTATTGTAATGTTGTATCATTATTATCATAAGGGTCTATTTCATTAGTACTATGGTCATCATCACTGTCTATTTATGTATATCATCAGTATCAGTGTATGACTTTATATATTTTTTCTTTAGTACTAACGTCATCATCACTGTCTTTATTTGTCTATTTTTTTTTTCTTTAGTACTATCATCATCATTACTGTATTTATGTATACTATTATCATCACCACTGTCTTTATCATCAGAGTATCGAAGTTATAGCCTTTTGAAACTTTGATAACAGCAAGTTCCTGATGTGTTGCATGGAAATATTGCATTTCATAAAGGTCAGGAAAACTGATATATCGTCTGTATACCTCTGCATATTGACATTTGTCATTTGCATGCAATATCAGTGTCGATAAGCTATATTACAAGAACAAAGATCTGATACTTATTTTCCAGTAATGATTCTCCTGACATGTTATTTTTATTGCTATCTAATACAAATATCATTTTTTATTTATTTTTGGTGTCGCTCAACGCTTTTTATATTTCGACTTTTAATATACCTATATATATAAAAGTGGTAATATTCACTGAATACCTATATTTCCCCAGAGATTTTGAGAAGAGAAGTGACCTCCTATATACACCCTTACCGCCTCAAAAAAAAAAAAAAAAAAAAAAAAAAAGTGTTGTGCAGCGATACATCAAAGTAACCAATTAAACAAACCGTTGAAATCGGTCCAATTAGTGACGGTTGCTCGGCGAGAACACCTGATTATCAGTTATTAATTATAGGCAGACGAAATACGCGTCGTCTAAATAATACTTCGGTGTTAATACGAACAAACAAATTTGTAAACAAAAACAACATTGAAATAAACAACATTGAAATAATCTATAGCTTTGTTGGGTTTTACATAACATTTCACGCATAGACACTTAGAATGCAATTTAAATATCAAATGATCTTTGTATATACAGATATAACAAGGACTGAAATAAGGCACAACATATCACAAAAATTCACATCACATTTATTCATATAAAAATACATGGTAAATGCTTTCATCCAAAATATCAAGACACCCAATCTGTACAATTTTTATTCCTATTCTCTTAATCTAAGCAAGTGTATAAGGAAGAAAATAAACATGAAAAGGTTTCGCAGATGCTATTAAGGGAATCTGATGCCCGTTTTCTATGATTGCTTTTGGTGTCTGGTTGCGTTGGTTCTTGACTTCGTGTGTAGTTTTGATTTTTTTTTT